AAAAAAAAACAACAATTCAAACTTTTTCAAGTTCAACACATAACAATACAGAATTTTCCACATTTCTTCCATAATACCACATTAAAGTATATTCCAAATTTTACAAAATGAGATGCTGTCAAAATGATGAGATGTCACCTACACATGTTGGTCTTTCAATTTCATTACCATCGATACAAAGGGGGGGGGGATAATTTTGTACCGTAATGTAAACACGAACCATGTAACATACTGCAGTGATTGTAAGCTGTAAATGTTTTTTTTTTCTTATGAAAAGATAACCACATTTTCTTCTAGGCTTTATCTCAAACCTGACCATTCAGCGTCAGTATTTCCCTAATGATGAAGACCAGACCGGTGCAGCCAAAGCTCTTCTCCGACTGCAGGACACCTATCAACTGGACACACAGACCATCTCCTCTGGAGACCTGCCTGGTGAGTGTGACCTTGCCTCTGTCCAAACATACTTCAGATATACCTTTTCTGCATCTCATTGCATGTTTTCTTATAGGTGTTACTACAAGCTCGCCGTTTAAAAGCACCCTGACGGTAGAGGATTGTTTTGAGCTGGGAAAAGTAGCTTACTCTGAAGCAGACTACTACCACACAGAGTTATGGATGGCCCAGGCACTCAAGCAACTGGATGAAGGAGAAGAAACCAGTGTTGACATTGTTACCGTGCTGGACTACCTCAGCTACTCAGTCTACCAGCAGGGGGAGCTGGAGAGAGCTCTGGAACAAACCAAGAGACTGCTGAGTGTGGGTTAGTCTGCTCTACAAAACTATAATATAATATTTACACTAAAGCTGAACTCCATATCGCGTCTTAGTGCGATTGTCAAATCGTGCAGGCTGTGATTTAATTAAATAAATATATGCTTTACTGGTTTCAAGTGTGGCATTTACACACCGGCAGTGCATATTTTTATTTGACAGCAAGCTGTGTAAACCCAAGTATGAACACCCTCATTTTTTCCCAAATCTTGCAGTCCTAAAAGGATTTCACAAACACACACACACACAATCTTCAGAGTCAAAATGTAAGTTTCTGTATTTTTCTATACTGACACACTCCTCAAAAAAATCGCACTAATTCTATAATGTTTCATTCTAAATGTATCTATTCAAATAATCTGGTGAACATTCCTGTATTTTTTCATATTGCAATATATATCACAGAAAAATGAATTACTGCAATGTCAGTTTTTTTTCCAGTGTACATGAAGCCCTAATTTAAAAAAAAATTTCACATGCCATTGAAGAAAGGAGTCCAGAATATCGTATCATGACCTGTGAAATTGACCTGTGAATGTCAAATTAACATTTGAGACATTCAGCAGTTCTCCAAACTATTGCAAAATGTTTAACACGTTTATCTCTGCTGTACAGATCCTGAGCACCAGCGAGCACTTGGGAACCTAAAGTATTTTGACTACCAGCTAGCCAAACAGAAGAAGGATGAGAAGGAGCCGAGTGCCAAGGAAGAGAGCAAGAAAGAACAGGAAAGGACGGTTGGGAAAGGGGAATATTTCCCTGAAAAGAGGAAATATGAGCAGCTATGTAGAGGACAAGGAGTCAGAATGGTGAATAATAAAATACTGTTAAATACTGCATTAATATAAATATGCACTGGAATGTCATATTAAGCACGAAATGCTGATGCATTAGCTGATGTGAGTCATTTTTAATATATCAGTGCAGCTCTATATCCACAGCCACCTAATTTAGCCGTTTCTGCTGTTTTTTTTTACTTTGCATTGATGTAACTTGACTTATTTATAAAGTAGTGATTTCTGTATATGAGGTAATTAATTATTAAACACAGGACTTTGAATTATTTATGCACACCCACGGTGGTAATACGGCCATAACACAAAGCTCTATTTTTATCCAGTCCACCAAAGCTCAATGCATACTGCCCACAAAAGTCATAAAAACTCAAATGCTTCAATCAGAGAGGATGACACACAGCTTTAGGGAGTCAGTGAATCAGTATTTTCATGACAGTGCCTAGCTGGTTCATCACATTGAAACTAACTTGT